GACATCTGAGTCACGTGTAGATGTGGGTATGGGAGGCCTGTAGCCCGCGGTGGGTGGCCGGCAGCAAGGGGCATGTGGGAGGTGTTGAGTTAGGTGTGGTTTTCCCAAGCAAATACAAACGAAGCAGCAGGCCAAGCCAGAGGGCACTTGCGGATGTTTTCCAGGGGGTTGATTTTTGTAAGGAGAATAGATAATATGCTGGCTGTGTACCCCACCTGAATGTTTGGGGCTCTGAAACTTGCAGGTAACTGTGAATGCCTCGGTCTTCTAGTTAGACAGGTGAGCACCTTGCAGTTCCTATGCAGCACAGTGCATGGCTGGCAGAAGAAGGTAGACACGGAGTCTTTGAGGTTTGATTGGTCTCATGATTGATTAATTGCGATATCTGAACTTCAGCTTAGAAGGAGGATAGAACATGATGAACTTGATGAAAAAGCATTTTCCCATTATAGCATTATAGGGTTTCACTCACACACACACAGACACATACACACACACACAGACACACACCCTTTTCACCTGGCACTCTCTGCTAATTTTGGTTTTTATTGAAATTACTGATGCAGTTACAAATACTCTCATAGTTGAATATTCAACTATAATATTGTTAAATAAGAATGGAGGAGAGTGACCTGATATAAAACAGCAGGAGTCTTGACCCTTGTTGTCACAATAAATTATTGTATATCTTACTAATTTTAACCTTTTTGACAACTTAAAATCAAGTTGTATTTAAGTGCTGTCCCCTTTGAGTAGTCTTTGAAACAGTTTTGGTTGTTGCAGTTAAGACATAATCTAAAGAACTAAATGTGCTGCCTGGATATGCCTGAAATCCCTGCGGGAGACCTAGTCAGCAGGCCAGGGCTCAGTGCAGTTGCTTTAGAGCATGTTTGTAGCTTCAGCATGGTGACCATTGGATGATACCCTGCACCCCCAAAGCACAGTGTATTTCATTAGAAGGTTGTATTACCCCATTTGCTGCGATGGAGATCCTCTGTCGCCTTGGTTTCACACAGAGGGACCTGGGCACAGTGAATGTTCAGTAAATGTTTAAAACAATTCTGTAATGTAGGTGTATCGTAATGTAGGTTGGGAATGTGTTATTCCCTACAAGGAGGTTAGAAGGTAGTGTAACCAAGTGAGAATAGCGAGGCACTGCTGCCTATTAGGTGAACGCATTTCTTTTTTTTGTAGAAAACAGTGGAATTTCCTGAAATTTTCAGGAAAAAGAATACTATATGATCCAAATTTTACTTTTCCTTTGAGAGTTTCTTTTCTTTGTCTTTGGGATATTTGTTATCAAAGAATTTTTAGAAATGTGTTTCATTTGGACATGACTTAGTTCTAAGTTCTTAAAGTGTGAATTCTTTAAATTCTGAAAAGCTCATATGATAGGAAAGGCAGAAAGAATATCTTCTCGCCAGGATCTGGGCATGTCTGCAGAACCTGGTTTCAGAGTCAGAATGTTAGATTTTTAGTGACATTGTTAAAAGTGTATGTAGTTTTAACACGGGTAGTTTGGAAAATGATAGGCAGCAAGGGATCTGGCAGTCTGGCTACTTTGGGCATACACTGTTCTGCAGACATTACACGGGGTGTTGTGTAGGCATACCTCTTGGCTGGGGGGGGGGAGGGAGGGGAGGCTCATTGGATATACTTCAGTTTACGAAGTCCAGACAAGGCTCTGTGTCAAAATCCCATCTGTTGAATGATGTACGTTATCCTTGAATTTTGTATCAGTGCTGCACTGTGTGAATGTACTTGAGCAGTTGCCGGGTATAGTCATAAAGGCCTAGTTGATACCTTCATAGTCTTTAAAAAATGGTTTCTGTGAACCTTGACATGTAAGCCTTTGTTCCAAGAAAAGGGATTCTCTGGTGTTGCTACTTGGGAGCATTTGCTATCTGTAAGCATGTACTCTTTAGATAAAAAAAAGCATGATTTTGTAGGAATTTGCATTTTAAAAACAAATGAAACTCTGGTTTTGGACATGGTTTTAGAAAAGCACACAGCATTAGCATTTCATGGTCCAGCATTTTCCACATCATATATTTTTTTTCTTAGCCGTGAAATTTCGGCAGATTGTTATGCAAAACAGTTTCATGTCTCTGTGTGACTGGGAAGACAGCTGTTAGTCCTAATGAGGAGCGCTAGCATTACAGTATTTCCGTTGATTGAGACCCACGGAGGGAGCAGAATGTTCCAGATCAGGCAGTGGTGTGTGGTGAGAAGGTACCATACTGTCAGCTGGAAGTACATGCTCGGCTGCTCTCCACGACAAGATAAATGAGTTTTGCTGGAGTTTGGCAGAGTCGGAAGCTTTTCCAGTGAGTGGTTGTAGCTCACCAGCCTCCCTGTGGGACCGATGGCCAAGGGTGCCTTTAAATCTACTGCTGCCTTGCCATTTTTTTTTCTCTTGATGTCCTACAATACCTGTCAAGATTGTGATTTATTAAAAACCTAATGTCTTTTAGCATTTCATTAACATGGGGTTAGATGATCTTTTGTTGAAGCTTTTCTCCTCCATTAATTTAGTAGAATATTAGCTGAAATTTAACTTGGTCAAAGAGAAGTCAGTGGGGCACCTTTACTTTCTGCCTTTCGCATCTCTCAACAGATGGAACATTATAACATAACAATACCTAATTTATAATCAGGTTCTTTCTGTTTTTTGCACACCAGTCCTGGGACTTGAAGGCACTGTCCTGGAGCTTTTGTGTTCAAGGCAAGTACCCTGCCATTTGAGCCACAGCTCCACTTTTGGCTTTTTGGTGCTTAATTAGAGATAAATCTCATGGACTTTCCTGCCCTGGCTGGCTTTGAACTGCTGAACTTTGAGGTAATTGGATTTAGGCTTTTCTTCTTCAGATGCCGTGCTGTTATTTCAGTCCTGATCATCTGCTAACAAATGATGGGCCGCGCCCCTTTGAGAGGAGGAGTTGTGTCACAAGTTAACAGTAGCCATGGTCTCACTGACTGCAAAACCTCAGCTGGTGGACAAGTTTTCTTTAGAGATTGTGATTGGAGTTAGAGCAGTGGGATTTTGCCTTGTTTACATTTTTGTTGTTGTTGTTGTTGGTTGTGGGGCTTGAATTCTGGACCTGGGCGCTGTCCCTCAGCCCTTCAGCTCAAGGCTAGCGCTATACCACTTGAGCCACAGTGCTACTTCTGGTTTTCTAGTGGTTTATTGGAGATAAGAGTCTCACGGACTTTTCCTGAACCAAAATTCTCAGATCCTCAGCCTCCTGAGTAGCTAGGCTTACAGGCATGAGCTACCAGTGCTCGCCTCCTTGTTTACATTTTAATCCAACTTCATCATTACTTAGAAGTTACATATGCCAGACAGTGTATTTTATTTTCCACATTCTAAGAGCAGAGTCATTTAAGTGTTAGCAATATTTTACTATTGAAATTAAATATCAAGAATAAATGAAACTAATTTTTGTCTTTTCATTTTTCTAAGAATTTTTACTCTTCAGTGTAATTTTTACTCTTAAGACTCTTGACTTTCAAGTCCTTCTGTGTTTCATGAATCTCTGCCCCCATAAACCTCTATCCCTGTCATGAATTTCTTATTTAAGTTAAAAAGAAAATTATTAATTACCTTGGATTATGTAAACAAGTTTAAAGAGAATAGTTTTGATGTCTTTCTTTCCAAGATCTGTTTTAGAAAGTTGGGGTCAAGGCCAAGTGTTGGTGCACTCTGGAAATTCCAGCACTTGAGAGGTTAAGGAAGGAGGACTAAGAACTTAAGACTAGCTTGGGTTATATAGTGAGACCCTATCTAAAAAAAAAAGTAGTTAAGTGGCTCATGCTTGTAATCCTAGCTACTTGGGAGGCTGAGATCTGTAGACTGCAGTTTGAAGCCAGCCTGGGCAAGAAAGTCTGTGAGACTTTTATTTCCAGTTAGCCCTTAAAATGCTGGACGTGGAGCTGTGGCTCAAGAGTTCTATCCTTGAGTAAAAAAACCCCTCAGGAACAATGCCCAGGTCCTGAGTTCAAGCCCCACTAGTGCACAAACAACATAAGGTGTTTGACTATATAAAACATAAAATTTACCATTTTAATCATTTTAACGTATACAGTTTAGTGACATTAAATAGATACACACTATTGTGCAGCCATTAGCACTATTTTCAGAACTAAGCAGAAATTATTCTAAACAAATTCTGTACCCTTTAAGCGCTCCATTTCCATTCTCTACTGCATTGTCACATATTTTGGAATCTCCTGTCTTTTGAGAATGGATGTTATTCCAGTATACATATGTATTTTATTTCAAAAAATCTACCTGCTGGATATTGGGGCTATTGTGTGTAATACTGTGAGCCTTGCTTGAGAACTTGGTTTCAGTTATTTTGGTTATTTACTCAGGATAATTGCCATGTCTTATATTAATTCTGTTTGTTTGATGAACTACTCTACTTTTCTACAATGGCTCACCATTTTACTTTCCTTATCAGAAATGTGCAAGGATTCTGATTTCTCTCTTTGTCAATGGTACTTGCTATCTGGTTGTGGTTTTTGATAAAGGCTGTCCTAAAGATTTGGTGTCCTGTTAAGTTTTTGATCTTCATGCCCTCTTGTCATTGGACAAATGTCTGTTGCCTTATTTAAATTGTTTAGTTGTCAGAGTATTCTTTTCCCCTAATTCTTACGTTCTGATTAAATAGGTAATTGCAGAGTTTTCACAATTTATTGTCATCAGACACAAATACGTAGAGATCTTGGCAGGTTTTGTCTAGCCCCTATTTTTCTGGGAACTCTCTTTTTTGTTCCCTTGCCTGGATATGGTAGGATAGACTGTGTTTTCCTACTTTACTGGGAAAGAAATCGGATATCCTCACTTAGCACACTTATGGGAAGAGTGGAAGAGATGAGAGTGGGTTGCAGAGGGCACTGCTGTGGACTGTGTCCATCCCCTCTGAAAGAGGATGGTGTTTAGTGTGCAGAGTGCGCGCTTCCCGTCAGCATGGCTGACCTCTCCCCTGTACTTGCAGCACTGTGACCTCTGCCGTGTTCACTGTGGGAGACAATGTTGTGTCAGGCAGCGATGACCGCACAGTGAAAGTGTGGGATTTAAAAAATATGCGGTCCCCCATTGCAACCATCCGCACAGACTCTGCCATCAACAGGTAAGGATTGACAAGCTAAAGCCTTGTGTGTATTTGCTCAGTGTTTCACTGATACAACCTTAAGAAAAATGGTGTAGCCTCCTAGGAAAATATTTTATGAATTCTCTAAATTTAGTATCCCTAGAAATCAGGTTGGGGTAGTAAGACTTAGAAGACTTAGCCATTTATGGCTATGTTGTAGGACTTTTGTTTATTCATTTACCACGAGTTTGATGTTGTAGGGCGGAACAGTGTCTGCTGTTGTGGAGGTAAGTTTGTGTATTGTGTGTGTAGGGTTTGGGTGATCTGGTAGGTATGGGTAAGGACCTCAGGCTCTAAAGCCATATGTAGTTTGCTAATCTCATTTACTGTAGAATGTGAAAAATAGGAACCATTATCTCTAATTTACATGTTCACTATTTTATGCACAATCCATTTTCACCTCTATTCTGCAGGATTAACGTATGTGTTGGCCAAAAAATCATAGCCCTCCCCCACGACAACCGACAAGTGCGATTGTTTGACATGTCAGGGGTGCGGCTGGCACGGCTTCCCCGGAGCAGTCGACAGGTAAGGGTGGTAGCGGTGGCAGCTGTGATAGCTGTTACCAGAGGGGCTTGCATTGTTCCTCAACTGTGCTGTCTAGGAGAAATGTAACCTGGGCCACCACATTTTAGAACAATTTCTCATAGCTACCTTAAGAAGGAGAGAAATGACAGAAACTGATTTTAATTAATCATTTTTCTTAACCAAAGATACCCCAAAGAATACAATTTCAACATGTAACCCATATAAAAATATTAGAGATATTTTGCATTCTTGTTATCCTACTAAGTTTTTGGATACTAAATTTTCACCAGAAACACTGGATCTGTTTCTAGAGTTTATATTGTAAAAGATTCCTCCTACCCAAATTGCCAGTACCCTGTATGTTCATTGTTTAGGTTTGAGATGGGATAGGATCAAACCCCACCCTCACTGAGGTTGGTAAGATCCTCTGCTCCTGGGCTGGGAAGGTGGCTCAGTGGTAGAGCGCTTGTCTTGCATGCCTGAAAGTGCATGAGTGACAGCTGCTGCTATGCCCCAGGTGGGAGCGGCGCTGGTTGCTGAGGGGAGAGCTCTTTGCGATGGGACCCTCACCCCGACTTCCAGCCAGAAGGCCCCTTCTGTGACAGCGAGACTGCCTCACATGCTTCCTTCTTACAAGTTATGGGATTGTACCTTGCCAACTTGGGATGTGGTGGCAGGGAGTGAAGCGGCATTCAGCCCACTGTAGTCAGTGTTGGATGGGATGCCCAGAAGCCCACATTCAGTAGTGCCCTGGGCAGTTCTGATGTTCTATGGAGTTGGGGCCAGAGGTAACAGGAGTGGTTGTAATAATAAAACTCCATTACTTGTCAAGGCAATATGTCTTCAGGCTTTTGTATTTAATTGAGCCCCTCACACAGTTGCTTTCTTGCCTGTCTTCTTTTGCTGTTTCCTGAGTGTCTGTGATGTCTGATGAACAAACCCGCATGTCCTGTTGATCATGGCTCCTCCCTCTAGCTCACTCGCACTCGTGTCTGTGTGCTCACCCACCTTGAGCAGTGCCCTGTTCTGCACACATTCCCCTTGCTCACTGCCTCCTGGCTGCTCTCCTGCTGATCTGGTGGCGATAACCACTCTCATTTCACGGTGTGCAGCCTCAGAGCACAGTTCATGAGTCACAAGCTAGCCCTCCGCTGGCTTTGTACCGCAAAGACTGCTGACTAAGTGCCACCATCTCTTGAGGTGGTGTGCCATTTCTGAAAAAAGCAGCTGTCTCTACCAGAGGAGTGTTTCAGCCATTCTTCTTTTTGATGACTCCTAAGGGTACTGTTTGAGGTAACTTATTGACCTTTTAATTCTTTGTGTACAGTACATCATAACAAGCCATGAATTGTCTGCTGTGGGAATTAAAAAAAAATATTGTGAAAACTGCTAAACACCATTGGTCTGTTAACTAAGTTATGCCTTCAGCACAACAGAAGGCACAATGCTCTGTGTGTGGTCCAAGACTGTTCTGCAACATGTATGAGATTTATGAAAAGTGATGTGCTTACTTTGGGAATATTTTCCCTTGAGAAAGTAAGGAAGTCAGGTACTGAAGGATCACATGCCTGTAATCCCAGCTACTCAAGAGGCTAAGATCTGGAGGATGAAGATTCAGAGCCAGCGTAGGCAAACTTCATCTCCAAAATAACCAGCCAAAAGCAGGGCTGGAGGTATGGCTCAGGTGGTAGAAAGGCCATTGAACTAAGCAAGCCGAGTGAGCATAAAGCCGTGAGTTTACACTCAGTATTACAAATTAAACACAGGATTCTGATTTCTTGTAAAAAATTTCATTTTAAATTGTCTTTAAACGTTCAACCTAATGATGACATAGATTTATTTTTTCCTTTTTTTTTTTTTT